AATCACAGTAAAAATGTTTAATCACATTTTTGAAATAAATTTCAAGCTCAGTATCATTATATGTACTAAAGAAGGATATAAAAGAAGCAGTAGACAATTTCTCAGATTAAAATAGGTAAGAGTATACACAAACAAAATAATTTATTCTTTCAGTTCAATATGGATTTATTGAGTAGTTACTGTGCCGCTCATTGTATTTACAAAGTTAAGATATAAACCTTGTTTTCAAAGAGCTTACAGTAGAGCACATGAACATTATTATATTAAGTTACAATATTAAAGGTGTACACAAATGTTAGAGGAACTTCTAACACAGCAGTTCTCAACCTGTGAGGGGGACACCCCTCTGTGGGGGTCGAATGACCCTTTCATAGGGGTCTCCTAAATATATCCTGCATATCAGATATTTACATTATGATTCATAACAGTAGCAAAATTATAGTTATAAAGTAGCAATGAAAATAATTTTATGATTGGGGGTCACCACAACACGAGGAACTGTATTAAAGGGTCACAGCATTTGGAAGGTTGAGAACCACTGTTCTAATACAACCTGTGGGGTGATGCATCCTAAAGAAGGTAACACCTCAAATGAAATTTCAAGGATGATAAATTGACCAGGGGAAAAAAGCAATGTTTCCAGAGAGACATAATTAACATAAGCAAAAACACAGAAATATAAAACTACATGCTCAGGGTGAAAAGTAAGTACAATTCATTGTTACTAGGTTTTTAAATTTGATATAGGGAGATCGTTATCAATTTTTATAGAGACTTTAGTCATAAAGAATGTATATGTTAAGGAAAATAAGTCTGTGTGCAACAGCAACTATTGAAGATTTTTAAAGTAGATGAAAATCATCAGGGTATATTTCAATTTTCTTACTCTAGTGACTGTAGAGGAAAAATTTAAGCGGTGGTGGGGTGGCAAAATGCTGGACAAAAAAAGGCAATTAGAGGGAACATGGTCAAACCAAGGGAAATAATGAAATCCTGGGCTTAGGCATTGATGCGTGGGGAATGGATTTTTTAAAATAATGAATTAAAGTCATCAGGACTTATACGTCAATTTCTGATTAAGATTGAATAATAGAGGTGGATTTACTCACCCACCTGAAAAAAAAGACAAAAATATTGCATCAGTCTTCAAAAAACTTGATATCAGTCAGTAAATGAAAATGAGCCCAGAGAGAAGGAATAAACAAGGTGAACCTTACAATTGCCCTGATTTATAGTAGTTTCCAGGTTGTGGTATGGGGAGAGATATCCCAGCTGGATTGAGTTGAAGAGATGGAGCTCAGAATCTGGGGATAAGAAAAGGCTAGATGTCACAAGCCAGAATACCAAAGAAGAGGGAACTACGCACTGAGAGAACCCAGAGATTTGCAGAAGATTCTCTTCAAGTATTCAGTGGAGTACTGAGCACCATATATGCATGAGGAATCTACCCAATGTCAGAGAAAACAATAATCCAAAAGAAACAGGGCCAGGACCTGATTCTAACAGTCAAACTGGAAAAACCTTATAAATAATGGGTCATTGTATCAAGTATTCAGAAAGATTTTACATCAGTATTGGGGAATAATTAGCACTAGAATATGCACATTTAGGAATATCCAAACAAATCATAGAAGCAAGACCTGAAAGGGTCAAACTGCTTCCAAATAACTAAATGTAGTTATTGAGCCTGTCTGCATGTTAAAATATTTTTTATTGGCCAGGCTCAGTGGCTCACACCTGTAGTCCTAACACTCTGGGAGGCTAAGGTGGGTGGATTGCCTGAGCTCACAGGTTCAAGACCAGCCTGAGCAAGAGCGAGACCCCCCATCTCTAAAAATTGCTCGGTGTTGTGGCGGGCACCAGTAGTTCCAGCTACTCAGGAGGCTAAGGCAAGAGAATCACTTGAGCCCAAGAGCTTGAGGTTGCTGTGAGCTATGATGGCACAGCACTCTACTAAGGGCAACAGTGAGACTCTATCATACCCTCTATCATAGGGTATACAAAGGCAGAAATTCAGCAGAAATGATCATGCTTTGATTTATCTTTAAAAAGAATGAAAAACGTTCTGCTTGTGCCATCGTAGAAGATTTGCTTTGATCCCTCTTTTTCTTTTCCATCTCTTTAGTATTATACAATGGTCATTTCTTGCATTTACTACAAACTGATAATCAGATAGACTCTACAGTCATGGCTATGCTACAGAACATACTACAGCTGAATAGGTGATTTAGTTTTACAAAATAGTACTGGTTTTTAAATTTTGGATCAGCCCCAACAAGATAAAATTTACAATATCTTGCATGCACATAAGCAAGAAAACAGGACCCAAAATGAGAATTAGTTAATAAAGAGTGACATAAAGAAGGGGAGACAAGATGGCTGACCAGAGACATCAGATTCCAGATCATATCTAAAGGAAGGAAATGTTTTACATGTAAAAGAAGCAAACAAGTAAACATAGATCATATATAATTTCAAGAGAAAAGTACCAGAACCTACCAGAGATTCCATGGAAAGAATTTGCAGTGCTGAAGTAGAAGGCATAAGATATCAGCAGAGGTCAACCCTCAAGAAGCTTGGAGTCTGAAGAAAACTGTAGGTGGGAGGTTTGTTTCTCTCACATGTGCATATTAGATGAGATCCCACCTCATTGACTATTCTGTTTTAGATAGTTTTTCATGACATTAGTAATTCAAGATGAGGCTGTTTAGCAGAATGAAAGAAATACCAAAGGAAAGATAAATTTCCTCCTACGTATTAAGCACATGATAATTGCATTTCTATAGTATTTTATCTTCCTGCATCATTTAACAATAACTATGTACCTGTTTTGTGATTTTACTTTTATTGTAGCCTTGACGCTTTTGAATCATCTATTAATTAATATTTTGCATATTTTTCTTCCTTGATTTGATTGAAGGCTTCTGTGAGGAGACGGTTTTTGGCTACCTTGTATTCTTTATACTACCCTCTCCTAAAAGAAGCCTTGCACTTAGTAGGAATTCAGTAAATATTAAGTGACTTAATATGATACATTCTTAGAACCAACCTATATGTTTTTAAAAAGTGGTTATCTTGGATCAAGCCACAGTCAGTCATGAAGTTACTAAGCCATTTGTTTTAAATTTGTTGTGATACATATGCATCAGTTAGTAATGATACTTATTTTATTTTATTCTGTTAGTGGTGATTTACTCAGAATTGAAGGAAAAACCCTGCATTCAATTCTGAATGAAATTGTTTTCAAGCTTTTATCAACTAGTCCAGTCATGAGAAGTACTGCTACAAAACTCCTACTATTAATGGTGGAATCCCATCAAGACATTTTGATTTTACTGAGACTAAGTGCCTGCTACAAAGGTAACGCACACATTCTTTTTTTCCTTGGGATTCTCAGAAAGAAAATTTTTATGGATGGTTAATGAAAAACAAAATTCTTATACTTTCAAAATCGAATAACTGAGCTGTGCAGATAAAAGCCTGTCATCACAAATGTCAGTTCAGAAAAAAATCTTTATGTAATCAAACTATCTTCATGTCTCAACAGATGGCATGTGGTAGGTACTTTGCTAAGGTTACAATATATGTTTATTCCTTCTGTGATGAAAAAGGTTGTATGTTGAATATACTGTATAGTGTAGTAAAAAAAAAAAAAAATGACCAAACATCAGTGACCTTAACTAAGACTAGCTTTAAAAGTGGAGAAATAGAGCTGTGCTTGAGAGATTGATAGCCCTTTTGGTCTTTATATCAGTGAATAATCATGCTTCAACTCCTTTACTGCCTTTCCTCAAAAATAAAACAAAATAATTTGCCTTACATCCAAAAATCAAATACATAGGTGAATAAAAATTCAGAAATTTTGAGGATGAAAGGACTTGGTATATTAACATTCTCATATTAATAGCTTTCGTTTAATTGAGTATTTAGTATGTGGCAAACACTAGTCTACATACTGTACATTCATAACATATTTAATCTTTAGTTGGCATTGTGCCAGATACACATGTTTAGTTCTGTAATTGGATTCCTACAGAAATGTAAGTGTCCAACAGAATTCATTATTACAGAATTTTACCTTAATCTTTCTCCCTTTGACTCACATCTTAATAGTAAAACTGTCAAGTTCCTCAAAATATTTTACAGTTATTAGTACTGCTAAGAACTTGAGTCTTGAAGAGAGTATGAGGCATGGAAAGATTCAGATCGTGACTTCCCTTTGTACATTACAAGCCATTTTATCTTTATTTTACCTATCCTTATGTATTTATATTGAATACATCCAATAAATCATTCAAACATGTCCTGGTAATACAGTAGTATTTACTTTGTGTCTTTTATTACTACTATGTATTATTTTGAGATGAAAATGCATTATCTTAGTGTTATAATACTTCTCCTATAGTATTTGCTCACAAACATCAATAGATTTGCCCAAAATTACAAATGTTATAGTATGTTTATATTTAATAATAGCATCCCTCAATTAATAATGACGACTAATAACCTTATGTGCTTCTGCATGGTAGATATTTACTGAGTATATGTTTATAATAATTTATCTTTTAAACTTCCAAAGTTTCAATTTAAAGTATTTACGTTCAAACAGAAAAAAAAAATTCTGTTCTTTGACTTCCCACCCTTTTTTTCAATAAAAGAGACTGGACAGTTTTTGTATCAGATCTCATATGTGAGCATGTAAGAATTCTCAGGAGACGAAAATTTTAAAGACCTCAACCTAGAAATCTTTGAGAAGAAGAAAAATCTGGTGATTAGTCTCGTTGTTACGTTCATTTGTTTCTAAAGCAGGCTTTTTAATATCAAATTATACTGATTAGATAACAAAATTGTATTATATTATTAATAGTTGTACCCTTTGTTATTCCATTACAGGACTCAGAAGTCTACTAAAAAAACAGGAAACTAAGACAGAATTTAGTCAAGAACTTAAACAGCTCATTGAACTTTTAAGCCCTAAGGCCTATCAAGAAGAAGAGGAACAGCAGGTATTAAATTATAAAAATAATTTGCATGATATTTGCTAAGTTTTCTTTATTTTAAATGTTCCTTACACTGGAGAAAGGCCAAAGGAAAAAAAAA